GTGGTGACGGTTTTTCGAATTCCCCTTGACGCATGTCAAATGTAAATCACAACAAACAAAATACTGTATAGTAGTAATATTTATTATGTTTAAACATTATAGTTTTCTTTCATAAAATGATTGTAAATAAAATTTATAATTATTAAGTTAATATGAATACATAATTGTATCTTTAAATTGCATAAAAACAATTTAGATTTAGATTTCTTTTTGTTTTTTTACTGAAAACCAGCAATGCACTAATTTTTTTCTTTCGTTTTTGAAATCACCATTAGCCAATCCATTATGTGCATATATGTATATAAATGTATGAATATTTTAATATGTATGTGTTTTTGTGTATGTATGTACATCAAAGCATAATATATAAGCAAATAATATGGATATTAATTACAATTGGTATTAACTGAATTATATTATATAACAAAACTTAAAATATACACAAAAAATTACTACAAAATGTTAACAATCAAAGACATGCAATGCACGCAAAAATAGTAAGGAAATAATACATTTAGTCTTTATCGAATTACAGAACTTTCAACTCAATACATTTACATAAATATATGTATAAATGTATGTATGTACAAAAGTTAAACAGATTCAACTTTGAGCTTTGGTCAATATGTGTAGGTGAGTGTGTTTTTGTTGATACACAAGTAAATATATTTATATAAAAAAGTACTGGACACATATTATCAGCATAAAAAATGAATGCAACAGCTGAATTCATTAATAATTTTTTAGTTGTTTCATAATGAGCGCGCAGCCTCAAGCCTAAATTTATGTGCATGTGCAGAAAAAAAAGGTATGCCATACATTTAGCTGCAATAGAATACTTATATAGTAAATAACATATTGGGAAACATAATTTGCCAACTCTAACGTTATTTTAAATTATAATAAATACAATTTAGTTTCTTGCATTTTACTAATGCTAGCTATAGACATTTAAAAAATGGTTATGTTTTATGTGCGCGATTATTGAAGTTGCATCCTCATAGAAGTAGCAAATCATCATCACCAGGTTTTTTAGTCGACGATTTCTTTTGATTATCTGCACCAGCGTTGCTAGTGGCGCTGCTATTCGTATTGGCAGCCGCTATATTGGGAAGATTTTCGGCAGCTGCTGCACGTTCCTCCAAGAATTTATCGAATTCGGTACTAGTTAAGGTTTCCTCAAAGCCTTCAGCGCCTTCCTTCTGCAATTTTGATTTGTTAATAAGGATTTCATACACTCAAATGTGTATGCATGGTTTGCTTGTAATAATAACGCATAAATTTGTATAAATATGCATGCCCTAGTGTTTGTAGCTTAAATTTATTTAATAAACATAAAATAAATGGGTTTAACCTGATTACTTACAGAATTGCCTAACCATGCCTCCATTTCATCAACTTCGTTTTCTCTTGCCGGCTTTGTTTACGAAACACGAAATATTTATTTTTTTTGTTTTGAATACACAACCGAAAAATATGACAAAACAAAGAATATAATTTTTAATACAACACCAAAGCAATTGAAATGAAAAAATATGGTAACGAAAAATTTGTATAATACAGTAAAATATATAAAGACAGATGTAATAAGCAGATGTTGAATATCATTAAAAATACCTACAACTACTGATTAAGAGATTGTTAAATTGTACTCACTTTGCTAACAACAGCAGTTTCCTTGGTGCGCTTGAATGGCAAATTGACGCTGCCTGCTGCCGCATCTACAGTGGGAATGTCTTTTAGCAGATCAGTTTTACTACAACGAAAGATACATAAATTATTTTATAAAGCACATGTGTCAATAAAGAATTTTATTTTTTATACTTATTAGTGTCGGTCCGTGATTGCGCCAACATATCGAACTCATCAATATCTTTGTTTAACGGCTTAGCTGGGTTGGTAGCTAAAAGTCAAATAATAATAAATAGTTAAAGGAAATATAACATATATTTACTCATGGCGCTGAATGTATTTGATAATTTCTCAGCACGCGCATCCAGATCTATTAGACGTGAATCATTTGGTATTGCACTAGCTTGTGAGGCACTAGTTGTCGGTGGTGGCACACCAATAGCAGCACCCAAAATGGCCGAAGGCGAAGTTGCGCTACTACTAGTTCGATTCTTTTCATATCGTTGATGGCGTAAGAATAAATTGTTCATTTCATCGTTTAGACGTAGCAACTCAGCGGTGAGCTCATCGTCATTGATGCGTCCGATTAAATCGACGATTCTGGCCTGCATTTCTCTGCAAATAATTTACTTTAGATAAATTTTCTCTTATGTAATATTTTTGTAGTTGCTACATACTTGCACGTAGCTGTCAATTCCGTGAGTAGAGCATAGTCGTCTGGATCCTCTTGCCCTGGTTTTAATTCGGTCAACATTTCGCCCAACACTGACATATTATGTGCAACTACTTCCAATTCAGATTGCAGCTTGGTTGTTTGTTCTGCGCTCAACACGGTGGGTCCATTATTCTAAAAAGTAAATACTCATACAAAAATTTCGTTTTATAAATATATTTTATGCAACTTACATGAGGCGCCATGGGTATGGCGTGTTGTGGTGAAATTGTCTGTTGAACAACCTGTGGCGGTGGCTCAGGTACACTCTGTAAATAAAAGCAACGAATTATGAAATAGTTTATTGTCTTCAAAGAAATGCTACTTACACGCTGTGGTGTGTAAATGGGTGCTAAATGTTCGATATCTGTCTGTGGAAACTCAATACCCTTATTCTTCAACTCCATGTACATTTGTGTAACACCATTCAAATCGGGTTGATTCTTAAAAGCATCTGCCCATATTTGTATTAAACTTAATACTTTTTCTTGCATCACCGCTGGCGGATCATTTTTAGGGCCAATTAATTTGATCAGCTCTTGAATGAAGTCCTTTTGAGCAACTAACACATGAAATGCTTTACCACAATTTTTAACACATGTCTCGAGCACGGTCAAGGTATACATAATAACCTGATTATCTTTGCCGGCATTTTGTGACAGTCTTTTGCGTATGGCTTTCATGGCGTCACGTGCCGTGTCCGAAGATTCGTTAATCATGTCGCATATTTCCATATTCAAGGCCCAATTCTCGGATGCCAAAGAACTGTCAGTAGCTTGCTCTAGAAAGAACAAAAAGCCAATTATCAGACAGGTATTGAAATATATTCGTTTGATTTTTGTATTATTGAATAAAAAATGCTAAAATTCATTACAATAGTGTTAAACATATTGGCAAATAATCTGATTAACCGTTAAATGTGAGTTTTGAATATTATTATTTGCACAAGATTAGCATATTAGTGCGATATTTTTTTGAGTAAAAGCAAATATTAGAAATAAGATGCGCTTTTAGATTTTTAATGGTTTTTTTTACAGTTATACATACATATATCAATGATTAAATACATGAATGAAAACATGATTAATTATCCCATATGCTTTATAAAGGTAAATAACAGTTAAAGTATATTTGCATAAATAAATTAAGGTAAGTATGTGCCTTTAAAGCTTTTATAAGAAAAGAAGTTGGAATATCTTTCATTATATTACTTGCTTATCTACAAAATACTTTATTGAAGACACATTAAATTGGAGTTAACAATGTGTTTTTGTGTTGCTTTTACAGACAAAATTCTATGCGCAGAAAGTTGCTTCTAATGGCTGCAAAAATTAAAATTATTTCAAAACATAAAAACACGTATTTTTTTTCCACACTACGTATTGCAGTTAGTTGGATTCAGATAGGTCTTGATAATCGCATATCATGTGTCATATCAGCATAACAAGCTAATCTTTAGTATATTTATAAACATATGTATTTGCGTATATAATACTATAAAAAAAAATTACAATAACAAATTGTGTATATGGTAGATAACGTCGGTTAAAGGGTTCCCTTGCCCACCGCAAGTGCAATGGCGTGAGTCAACAATATTGAAATTTATTTCGAACACACACAGGTTATAGGTGCATATACCTAAATGAATGTATAAATTGTAAATTTGTGCAGCGCAATATTGCGAATTAGGCATTTAAATAAAATAAATACTATAGTATATAACCAAACAGACAAGTTTTGCTATAGATTTTTGCAAGCTTTGATGCACTATTTCCAACTCCATATTAGAGTATACATATACATACAAACATATGTATGCCGACTAGTATTGTGAAAAGTCAATTATCGTATCTATTACAAATATTAGTAATACCTATTGCTCAACAAAATATGCGCCTATTGTTTATACTCTTGTAGGTATGTAAATTTGTGGACTTTTTTTTTGTAAAACATCACCAATTTCTTATAATTTAATTACCTATTCGTTGTCCAATTGGAGTTGAGAATGGATTGTTGAAGAATGATGCCATTTTTGTTGATTTGTTTCACTATAAATCTTAATTCCTTTTCACTAAATATCGTAGACAATTAAGCGTTTAATATTAGTTATTTAACTTCGTTTTTGTAAAAATATTAAACAGCACAAAACACAATTCACTAGTTTTTCTACACTTCTTTACCAGTTGTACATTTCATAATGACGTTTGTAAAATGACAAATGAATTATTTGTTTTTGTTTGTTTTCTACGACGGTATTGCCATCTCATTTTATAAACATATATTAGTTAAGAAAAAGTAATTTTTAAATAATTAATTACTGACAGAAAATGTTATAGAT